AAAAAAAAACAAAAAAACAAAGCAGAGCCAATGGGATACTAGTCTCTCTGAATCTCTTGAGTAGTTTCCTACCTAAACATGTACTTCAGAATAGTTAAAAAGAAACAATTGGGCTGGGGAGATAGCTTGGTGGTCTAAGTGCCTGCCTGGCAAATGCAAAGACATGGCTTTGATCCCAGGTACTGCATGCTGTGCCAGGCCCAGGTGCCAAGCTAACCCCTGAAACCAGGTGTGCTGGTGCATGCTTGTAATCCCCTATACTGGGGAGGCTGAGCCAGGAGGGGATTACAGGCAAGAGTTTGAGCTGTGTAGTGAGACCCTGAACTAACTAAATAAATGAGTAAAGATTTTAAAAGAAATACGAAAAATTATACAACCTGGGTGTTATGGTTTGTCTAGTGGTCCCCGAAACCTCATGTAGTCATGGGGCAGCTTCTGGAGTTTGAGATTGATTTCTTTGTTGTTGTTGTTGGAACTGGGGATTGACTCTCATGATTCCTTTTTTTTTTTTTTTTTTAAGCAGACTGGGGATTGACTCTTATGATTCCTTTTTTGAGACTGATTTTTGATCCAACGTAGAGATTGCAGATATGTTACACCCTGACCCTGGGGTGGGTAAATTGCTTTACAATGCAAGGAGGGGAGGGAGGCTAGCTAGCTGCCTGAAGGGGCTGCTTCTCCCTTTTGCTCCCTTTGCTCAGCAGGAATAGCTGCTCTGTGGCCACTCTGCCTTGAAGCCAGCCAAAGCATAGGCTGCAACTTCCACTGTGAACTAAATAAAATAAACCTTTCCTCCCTTCATTTTGGGTGATGGGTATTTTGTCCCAGCAATGAGACAAGAGTAATTGTGACACTGGGAAAACTGATTTTTTTTTTTTTTGGCACTAGAAATTGAACTCAGGACCTTGTGCTTGCTACCTTTTTTCTTTAGTACAGAAAACTTATCTTAAAATTTCACATTTTATTTTATTTTATTTTTTTGGGCAGAACCGGGGATTGAACTCAGACCCTTGCGCTTGCCAGGGAAGTGCTTATTCTACTAAGTCATCTTCCTGGCCCCCCAAAACTTCACATTTTAAAAAGTTGTAAATACTAAAGAAACTCAGCTTAAGTGATTTACTAATGAGAACATTTGAATATCATAATCAAAATTTTCCCCTTCCAATACACCAGGGAACAAGTTGCTGTTTCCAAGGAGTTAATAGTATGCCACTTGCCATGTGTTTCTACCTCATATCCTAGTTGTGATTCATTGGTTGACTGATTGATTTTAAGGTCTTTTTATTTAACAAATAAATGTGCAGTGTCCCAGAAACTCCAAGACTCTAGGTGGTCTAGGGTGTCTAGAGGATGGAGTGGTAAACAAGCAGCATGACACTAGGAAATGATGGACTCTACAGCAGGTGCACAGATATACTAGCGGCCGGTGCTCCATTTCCCAATACCTCTAGGATATCTGTGAATTATTTCACTTTCTCAACTTCCTACTCTGAAATTGCATAGTATCATTGCCTTCATGGGATTATTAGGATTAAACAAAACACATTTAATAAAATGGCACACAGAAAGTACTTAATAGTTTTGACCTTTTTTTCCCCAAAGTAATAATAAATCTGCCAGAGTATACCACAAATTATCAAACCTAGAGCATTGTGGATCTTACTTAAGACATCACTGTGTGCAGCCCCAGGTTAAACCAGGCAATTAAGTGTTGATGTATGAGAAGTGACATCACACAGTGGGCTGTCTGCCTGAGAGTCAGATGTAAGCTGAGGTCCCTCCTAACTCTGACACTGACCGGCCTGTGGCCTAAGCTGACTGACCTTTTACATGTGCTGCTCTAATGAACAGGATTCTCCTGCTCAAATGTCATCCTAAGAGGCCCCATAAAATCACTTCATCTATAAAGTCCACATCCAGCCCCCATGCCATCCTCTATTCCTTTATATTGTTTTACTTTCATCCTTGCATTTATCACATGAAATGAACCAAAGTCATGAGCAACTCAACTTGTGAATTAATTTTCATCTCTGTAGATCTCCTCATGGGATCAATGGAGAAGAGCTAGACCAGATGCCCTTTGGTGCTCTAGGAGTTCATGGTCTGGACAGATCTAGCTGACCTTTCCTAATTTACTGCAACAATATATGCTTCAGGAAGGGTCCACCACTTCTCAAAAATTCTGCTTTTACTTAAGTTCTGCAGATTCTTTTCTTTATTTTTGGAGCTATTTTCATGGCATTCTAGTCTTGCCGGTTCCTAAAAAGTGATGCCCTGAGATGCAAAATAAAAACTAATAGACTGCAGTGGGAAATCAGGACAGAATCACCTCAGGCATACCCTCTTGTTGGTTAACTGATTGACTGATGGTATCTTAGGATCCACAGTGCTCTAGGTTTGATGATTTGTGGTACACCCCCACACAGAGGGTATGCCTGGGGAGGTACACAGAATGTTTTCTAGGTCATTAAGCTCTCCAAGGACTCCTTACCTCCATACACAACTGATACAGGACAAGACAAGCTGTGTGGTTAAAGAGACGATGCCTTTTCCAATTGAAATCTACAATTCCATCTTCATGGTCATGAGTTACTACATTAGGGAGAGACAAACAGAAAAGCTGTCTCAGAGAAACCACATGATGTAATTAACAGACAAAGATATTACAGTGAAAAACCAAAGGAATTTAAAAAGGGGTAAGAGTTCTGGTTAATTAAAAGAAACTTACGTGGATTCTGAGTATTAAACAGAAGTGGAAGGGTAGCATGGTGGAAAAATGTATGTGGTATAGGGTCTCAGTAGCAGCTCAGACTCATAGTGATCCTCCTGTTCACAGCCTCCCCAGTGCTGGGGTTATAGGTGTGCACCACCATGCCCAGTTTCTGTGGCCAGCTCAATAGGCCTAAGGGTAGAACTTGTGTGGCCTATCGTGCCAGAGATTCAACCCTGGTCCCTGTGCTTGCCCAAGCAAGTGCTTAGTCGGTTGAGCTATCTCTCCAGCTCTTATACATTTAATTTGTGTTATTATCGCTTATAGTTCTTGTTGTCCTTGGGTCTGGAGGTCCCACGTCAATAATTCCCAGCTTTACCTTTGATTCTATGGAAGATTTCTGGCACAAAGGCTTGAATGGCTTTGAACCTTTCTACCACAAAGCCCAGTGTGGGAAACTGGCAGCTGCCATAGCTGATGAGCTGTTCAGTCAGCACTTCTGGAAAAACCTTCTGGAGCCGCAGAGTCTGGAATCGAGTGAAGGCAGCTCCTGCAAAATAGTAAGAGTTGAAAGAATGAGAAAGTGATGAACAAGGAGGTCATTTTTGGTTTTATAACCCAATACCAACATGCTACATGGGACATGGCAGAGCATGTCTAGCTCCTCACCGATCCTCAGGTCCAGCTCCTGCCTCACATCCACAGCATCACTGATTCTCTGATCTGGCTCAGTCAGGTTTTCACAGGCTGTCCTGACAGCACGGGGGGTGATCTCGGAGAACCGGGCTCTTAACACCTGTAGACTGGGCTTCACTGTAGAACACAAAGGGTCACTGAGGTCAAAGCCAATCACACTATACTTTTATTATAAAAGCCTTACTTTGCCTAAACTACCTCAACAGAAGGGCAAACAAGTTCAAGAACCTGGGAGATTAATGGAGTGGTGTAAAATGTTAAAAACATCACTCTTTGATCTGAGAGTTGTCTGAAATAATGAAGTCAATTTTAGTTATTAATTAAAATTCTCTGTGTGAACCTTTTAATCTTATTTTCTCTCAGCCCTTTAAAGAGAAAACAAATACTGTCAATTAAAACGTTTTCTGGGAAACTTCATGGCCCTTCAGGAAAGAACATAACACACACACACTCTCCATGAAAGCTGATGCACTGGGAGACAGGAGGACTGCCTCAAGTTCAAGGCTGGGTTGGGTTATACAGTGAGTTCAAAGGAAGCTTGAATTTCATTATAAGACCCTGTCTCAAAAGAAGAAAAAAGTTGATGTATTTAAATTTCTAGGACTGGCCTGATAACTCAGCAGACTAAAGTGTCTGCTTCAGCAGGGGTCTGATCCCTGGGGAGTCGTGCTGGCCCTGTTTGCCGCCCGGGGTGCCCTGAGACGGCGATCCAGACTGGGTTGGCACACACCTGTAATTCCAGTGCTTGGGAGGCTAAAAACAGGAGGATTACTACGAGTACATAGTAAGACCCTGTAGACCCTATATCCCCTGTACTAAATGCAAAAAATAAATAAATAAATTTCTAGGAGTTGAGGCTGGTGAGATAGCTCAGTGGGCTAAAGTGCCTACTTAGACAAGCGCAGGGACCACAGTTTGATCCCTGGCACCACATGTGGTGCCAGCCCTGCCTCCAGGGTGGGCTGAGCAGCCGCCATAAATTTCTAGGAGCCATTAGTTTCTCAATACAAAACCATTGAGGAAAATCAACAATCTTACCACCTGAGCCAAACAATGGTGTGTTCTCTACCTCCTCCAAGTTATCAGGAAGCACTGCCCTCTTTGAGCCATTCAAATTTAAGCCAACATTCATTCACTCATTTATTCATTTATTGAGATGCTGTGGATCAAACTCAGGGGCTTGTAGATGGTAGGTAAGTGTTCTACAACTGAGACGTAGCTATTCCAACAGTTGTTTATTAACAGGCATTATATAAAGAATGTATATATAGGTGACTGAAAAAAGCAGAATACTAGGGCTGGCCAGATAGCTCAGAGGACTAAAGCACCAGCTTAGGCAAAGGGACTGGGGTTCAATCCCCAGCGTGCCGTGCCAGCCTCGCTTTGGGAACGTGCTGAGATGGAGAATGAGACTGGGTGTAGTGGTGCATGCCTGTAATTCCAGCACTTGGGAGACTGAAAATATGAGGATCACTACAAGTCTGATTTGGGTAGTGAGACCCTATAGACTCTGTACTAAGTACATTTAAAAAAAAGAAAGAAAAAATAGAATACTTTAGATTTTTTTTTTTTTTTGGAACCGGGGATTGAACTCAGGCCCTTGCACTTGCCAGGTAAGCGCTTATTCTACTGACCCACCTCCCTGACCCTCTTTAGAATTTTTTGTACTTATAGGACATATATTCTCTTGCATATATTATTTATTTATTCTGTATTTAGGACAGGATCTACAGGGTCTCACTACATAGATTGGACTCAGTGATTCTCCTGCTTTCAGCCTCCCAAGTGCTGGGATTACAGGTGCGTGCCACTACACAGTCTCAATCACCCTCTCAGAGTGCCCATGTGCAGGGGTGGCATGGAATGCTGGGGATGGAATTCTGGCTGCTGCGCTCTGCCTAAGCAGGTGCTTTAGTCTGCTGAGCTATCAGGTCAGCCCTGTCTCTTGCATATATTTAATATATATAATTTTTAAAAAGATACACTTAAAAAAATAGATTGCTAACTCACTTGTCTCCTGGTAGTCCTAGGAAGTACATCAGACTGGCCTGACATTTGATGGATATGAGGCTATAAAGAAGAACTTGGCCACAGAACACTGTACAGATATGCAGTAGAATCTTCCAATTATGAATTATGAACAAAGAAGCGCAGTAACTGTAGCACTTACCTGCCTTGCACACATGAATAATCTCAAACCCAATGTTTTCACCTTCTCTGTCACAGTCAGTCCAGATCACCAGGGCTTGGCATTGTCGTGTCTCTCGTTCCAGAGTTTTCTGAAGTTAATGGAGGAAAGAACACTGAGAGTAGAATCCAGGGCAATTTTTGGACACTTCTACACTGAAGAGATTTACTGAGGACTACTGGTGTTATGCAGTGTTAGAAAAAAATCAGGGGAAATCACTCATACCAGCACCAGTGATAGTGTGGTCACTAATACAATCCCCCAGGCCTATAAGTGCCCTTTCAGAAGACTGAGGGTTTCCTACTAGTGCACTAATATGATGAGACTATAGTTAACCTCTAACACATACTTCTACCTCCAGTAGTTCTATTTGCTTGTTAAAAAACAAAAACAAAAACCCAGAAAACAACTTCATGGTGCTTCATCTAAGGAAGGGTTCCCAGGTAGCAGTGAACTAACAATTTGCAGTGAAACCATACACACTTCAGTCTCTCCATGTACCCAGGGGTGGGATGGGTGTTAGGATCTACATGTGGTTGTTTCAACTTCAGTGCCACATATCTTTCAAAAGATCCTACCTTGATGTCTATAAAATTCTCTGGGCAGTATTTTTCGATTTCTGCTTCAAAGAGGACAAGGGGATTGCAGCTGTGCCTAGGAAATAAAAGCACAAAGATTCTCATGCCAGCACATGATAGTCCTCTACTCTAACAAGAATGCACTGCTCAGTAGCTCATAGATGGACCCCTAGCAGACAGTGGCTCAAGTGCAGTCTTGCATACCTCTAATCCCAGCTACCTGGAAGGCTGAGACAGAAGACTGACCATGGAGTTCAAGAGCAACCTGGGTAGCACAACAAGACAGTCTCAAAAGGTGATGGAATTGGCCAGACATGTAGTTCAGCAGTATAGTGCCTGCCTGCCAAGTGCAAGGCCTGGGGTTGTTACGTGATATCAAAGAAAGGGGTTAGGGAGATGGAAAAGGTAGGTAAGAGGAGAAATGAAGGAACAGGGGTAGGACAGGGAAGCAAAATGGGAGGGGTAGGGAAAAAGAAGGAAGGAATAGGAAAGGAAAAGAGAAAGCAAAGGTCAATGGCCCAGAAGATTAAAAGCAAAGCCACGATCCTCTACATGGCACAATGTCCTCTCCCCAGTGAAGATTAATAGAAATTGCTCAGAAAATATCTGGAACCCTTTTATACACATCTGCAACAGGACAAATGCAATCCAACAGCTGCATGAAAGGTGTCTGCTTGGGGGGAACATCTAAAAGTGGATATTCATTCTAAAGATATAAAAATATACGACAAATCAGACATTCCTAGGTCATATTGGTACTGTAAGTTATGCGGTAACATCAACATGCTTCAAGAGTCCTGTAATATTTTCACAACTTACTATAATAATCATAGTCCTGGGGCCTGGGAAGATAGCTCAGTAGAACAAGCACTTGCCTGGCAAGCATAGGGTCCTGAGTTCAATCCCTGGTACCACAAAAACAAAACATCACAGTCCTTCCCCTAGAAATTGTACTGACCATTTTCGAAACTGCATCTGGAAATCATGAGCCAGCAAGTGTCCAGAAACTGAAGTCATTATCATAGTGACGTTCTGAATGATAAGAGAATTCAAATTAATCATTTTGTAATTATACTTTACCAAGTTATTCAAATGAAAGTGAGGGACTTCTATTAAAGGAAAAACCAAAAACACAACATAGTTGATTGGGAATAAACATAACTCATCAAAGCCAAAATCCATAGGCAATCCAATCAGCACACCAATTCCATGACTATGATACTGCATTCTGTATCATTTAAAATCTCCTCAGCCGAGTATAGTGGTACACACCTATAATCCTAGCACTCAGGAGGCGGAGGCAAGAGGATTGAGGATTGCTGTGAGTTCAAGGCCAGCCTGGGATACACAGAGACTTCAAGGTCAGCCTGAGTACATAGTGAGACCCTGCCTCAAAAATAATTTTCTTAGGGCTTGGGGCATAGCTTGGTGGTACAGGTTGGGATAGAGCCTGTTTAACACACACAAAGTTCTGGATTCCAACCCCAGAACCGCACACCTCTCCCCGCTAAAAAAGAGAGATAGATAGATATGGGGACACCATAGTTTCTTAGAGGTTATAAATTTATTATCTGTAACTCAGGACCTTTATGTAACAGTTATTTTTTCGCCCATAATTTTATTGAGAAACAAATAGCAATGAGACAATTTCAAACCAAATTGGTAGGACAGTTTCAATAATTAACACATTGCATACATTCTTCCTAGTGGTTATTTGAACAGTTATTTTTAAGACAT